GCTGCTTTTCTTTCTTTGTGATTTATCCTGCTTTGCTGAGCTCAGGTAATGTCTTAGAGATCTCTCTGTCAAACACTTTTAATATATGGTTGGTTTCCAGCGTTTTACACACCTCCCTATTGAGTAGATAGTCTGGCTACTTGATTAACTTTTCCTTGTCCATGACTATGGTCATTAGCTTTTTTTCAGTTAAAAGTATAGAGATGTTTTGTCTCGACCACAGTCATTTTATTGCTTTCCGTTGCTGTGCCTTTGTTTGAAAGTAATTCCTTTACTATCTGGTTAGTAATAAGGCTCTTTGCCTTATTGCTTGTTCAGTGTCTCCATTTAATACTAATGATTTAAGTAATGATCTTATCGAAGCAAAACAATACTGGTTTGGAGGTTTTCCTCATATTATTATTCACTGCATTCTGAAGAAGCTCTTCTATTTTTGTCAGTCGTTGTTTCGACAAGTTGCCAACACGGTCGCTCATTTCCTGCTTTGTAGGTGCTTCTGAAATTTTAAACAGCTTTTTTCCAAGAGTTTCTCTTCATCATTTCTTGTCGCCTGCTTGATTTTTAATTGCTGTTGTCATCTATCATGTCGTAAGTATGTTTTCAGTTTCGTCATTTCATTGCCAACTACAATTTGATACTCCGGGACCAGATAATATTCAAGTGTAATAACAACTTGTAGAATGTATCTTTCACTTTGTTCAGTCATTTTCATCCGGTTGGACAGTCAGTCTACAGCTGACATCCTCAAGTAGAAGTAAAGCTCCAGGCACAGATCTTCTAGTGTAATGTACCTGATTGTCACTTGCCTAACGGCTAGCCACTTTCACAGAATCTTTCTACCGAAAGACTAGAATAATGCTTTCTGATCATGGGGAGGGAGAGTCAAATAGAATGGAAGAGAAACATACAGCATTTTTGAGATGAATAATTTTACACTTGGTTTCACTAAAAGATGTCACTTATCAGAGCAACGCACCAGCATGCGATTATTGAACAGAATTACTACAGATACAGATCCTTGAAATCCCGATCAGTAATTTGAAATAGTTTGCGAGTACAGTAACCCACAAACCAACAAAGTAGTTGCATTCTATACTGTGTTGACTAAAAAAAGACAACAGTAAAAAGAAATAGTGGCAGTGAAAAGTACTATAGCTGCAAATGAATGCAACCTCAACATTCTGAAATATTTTGCATATACAGGTGTGGATAGGGATTGAACTTGTTCAGTTTACAATCCTCACATGTTAAAAGCTATTGGAATGCTAGTAACTATCTAAAGGAACAATATCTACAATACAAACATTTTATCTTTATATGCACGACCTATTCTTGTCCAAAAAGTGAATTGACAATCATTGTTGACTAAAATCTGAAAAAAAACAGTTTACGATAGTAGAACATGTTAACACAGCATGAAAGTTGGGAAAATGAGTACAATTAAGTGAATGTCAGCAATACATATGATAGTTAGTACCAGCACTTTTTCATTAATACCTTGTTAAAAGAAATATTCGCCAGTTTAATTCAAATGTCTATCAGTAACAATAACACTTCCGGCATCCGGCATGTTGCGTTATAAGCTTTGTATAGCATGACTGACATTACTGGTCATTATTTTAAACAAATGGCTTGCGAAATGAGTAATTCTGAAAGTAATGTTCATTAATCCACCCATTTATTGCATTGTTTTTTTACCTAGAGTTCTACGTTAGGCTTTCACAGCAGTATGCTGGGAAACGCTGAGAGAAATACTAAACTGCAACCGGTATTGGGAACGAGTAATTAAAGAAAGACAAAGATAACGGTTATGTCAAAATTTCGACTTCATGACTTCATAAGAATTAGTAGATTCAGTTAGGGATGACATCTAGTGGGTACTTCATAATTCCGCTAGGCATATAGCTTGGATACTACCATGTTATGGTATCCGTTTTGTAGCTAGATAGACTGTAACAGAGGGGAATCATATGGAAAAATTTTCATGTTTTAAAATGCCATTGTGATAATGATACAATAATATTTACTAGTGTACTGTTTCGGGCTCTAAAATCAATCACCTATCCACATAACTAAATCTCCAACCTTTTTCTGGCAGTCATTTTGAGAGAGTCAGTATAGTCATTAGCTGCTACCAACCTTGTGGAGCTATTTTGCACTTAGATGGGTAAAAGGAAGATTGAAGTTTTAAGCAACAACTACTAACTGTTTGAAAAAATACACTAAAGTAACTATTTGTAGTATGTCAAAGATAAAACAGCCCCGTGGGTTAAAGCTGTCCTTAAAACCCTGACAGCAACGAAACTAAAGATAAGCAGCTGAGTTATGCAGCTCACTTTTCAAATATAAAGGGGGATGTTAGCTTTTCGTCTCGGAATATGAGGTGTTATCATATACAATTCAAGGCACTTTGGCAGGTTCGCCAAGCAGCCCGAATGTTCTCTGATATATATTTTTTGAAATGTGACCGATAATATGCTATAAATTGTGTCGATGTTTAAGTACTCAGCGTTGAATAAGTAATGTTAAGTTGAACCAGAGGGAAGTAAACACTTGAGTTGGTTACGTTTTAACAACAAAGCTTTCATGTACTTAAAAAGTCACCAGATTAATTGGGAAGAAACATATATGACTTTTAAGAAGTGACTCCTGAGAATACTCATGCTTTACTAAAATATAGCCCAGTATTTCTTCATTGATGATGAACGGGGTGTGAAGAACTGGCTTTTGAAATGGTCAGTAATCGGCATTTCCATTAGGCTTTTTCTCTAAAATGTTGGTGCATCTTTTTTCCACTGAAACTCAATCGTTGTTCAAAACCTATGGTGTACTAACTACAACATACAGGTCCTTCTTTATTTGGTAATTATTCATGGATTGAAATGCAACATCTTTAAACTGTCTTAGCAGAATCTCAAGAGGTAGAAAAAAGTAGCAAGAATGGTACTCATCATAATTAGGTCACGAAATGTACAAAGTTCATAATGACCATCATATTTATTTGACACGAAATATTGCTATACATTCTTGAAATTAAAGTGTTTTCACTTAAACAAGTAGAGTTCATTGCAACATCTGTGGAACATTCCTTACACAGCTAAATGACAAATTTGATGAAAGGACTCATTTCTGGTTGCATTTCAGTTGCGTTCTGTTTGCTGTACACTCAGTAGACTACTTTTATTCACAACTTAGTGAAGCAGGTAGAATTTCACAAGGTAGCTCAGCACATCATAAAAGCCAGAAAGCTTTCTGGTCTCTGAAAACATACTGTTAAAGAATTTGAATCTGGATTATATGATCACTTTAGTGCAATTATTCAAAATACAGGAGACAAAGTGAGTTATGACAGTGTTATCACGGCAATTTGTGTGTTCCTCTACAATCACCATGGTATCAGTGTTGAATTTGACAGATATCTTTGTGATATTAATGTGTTTCTAATGACAGCAGCATTTTTCACTGGAAAATAATTGTGTTAAAATGTCTGATGACTGAAGGTAACATTATATTGAAAATTTTCACTAAAATGAAATACAGCAGAGTTTTTATAACACACATGTCTAAAAACTTCATCACAGTCATTATCACTCTGTAATACTTATGTTAGAAGTGCAGAAGTTCTGAGTCACTCAAACTTCAAGGTGTTGATCAAATTATTAGTTTCTGACTTCTTGCCAAATTCACCAGATTAGGTAGCAATTGAAAGCGTAAATTCTTATGTAGTCAGTGAGAATAAGCATCCTGAACTCCATCTTACGTTTCTGAGTAACAAACAGGTTTTCATCGTTAGCTTTGTACGAAGAATTCTAAATATTCTTCTGTTTCTGATCCATCATATACAGTTATTTATAGTGCAAACAAATATCCAGAAATTGTTTTATTTTGTGAAAAATATATTTGGTCTACGATAAATCTCAACGTCATAACATTTGGATGCTAAATGCTTTATTTATGTAAACAGTTTGCATATATATATATATATATATATATATATATATATATATATATATAATATATATATATATATATACGTTTAAATTTAGTCCCGTCACTCTTATGAAAAATCCTAATTGTTTTGTCAGGTTTATTACTAAGCTTAAAGCTTAACTTTAACCAGGTGTTTTCTAAACCTAAACATCTTTCTTTTTTCTCAATTAATTAAAACAATGTGTCAAATGAAGTTTCATTTTGCGAAAATCTATTTTCAACTGAAATTTAATCGGATATCCAAAATTTAGTGTATTCTTCAAATAAAAATGAATAAATTATTTGCATCAGAGGGCAGAGCAATGTACTAATTTAGACGTTTAGGATAAACAGTTGTTGACCTAACATTTTGTAAAGAACTTTATTCCTCTAACTCTTGCTTTATGAATAAACCTGTTTTAACATCAGAATTCCTTTCTTTCTCATTACACTCTAAACGGTTGAGTGGTTGAAAGATTTCAGATTACTTTGATTTCAAATCACAGATGAATCCAGTTTGGTCGGAAAAAGAATTACTAGGGTATGTTGATGTGACAATTTATTGTATAAGTTGATATCAAGGAACATCTAAACATCACTTTCTTCATAAGATATGAAGCCTTTAAATCAGATAATAAAGGCAGAGTGATCGGTTTACTTCAAATGGGGGCAGACAAATTTCCTCTATTGCTAAACACTCGAAAATCAATAGCAATATCACTTTCCAGCTGGCGACCAACTTATTTAAGAATAGTTACATCTTCCAGTTTTTCACTATCGGTTAAAGATAAAGTCGAAACTTTGTCAACGCTTGCTGAATTCTACAGCTTCGAAGTGCATTATGCCTCATTTTCAGGCTAAATTATTGGATTCTAGACGAAAGTTAAATTTTCTTATAATATTGGATGATAGATGGAAGGTTGAGCAACTGAAAAATTATGTTCTTTGAACATAGAAATCTATCATGTTGAATTTTTTTGAGTCTAAGCAGAATTATCTTCATATAATTATTATTCACATTGATTGTATTCGGGAAATTGTAGCACTTTTTAAACAAAGAAATGTAAAACACAAGACGGAAATATCAGATAGTATATTACAGTTTTCTCTCCAACGAAAAAGCTTTGATAATATATACAATGGCGAGATTTTGGTATTACACAAACTATAACAAATCTTTCTGATATCAGAATTTTTGATCATAAATTTAAGCGCCAAAACAACACATATTCAGTTAAATCAACAAAAATATGCATGAGAATTTGTATGAAATGAACATAAAACGCCTAAATAATTAACGGTATCAAAAAAAGCGAAAAATAAACTAAGAAATAAAGCTTTCTGTTTCCTTTTTCATAATTGTATTTCTACGGATGTTTAACAAAAAAGGTGAAAAACATCTGAAAGATATGGATGAGTGCTTCCAGTGACATTGACAATTGATCAGCTTATTGCAGTACGCTAGGATAATTTCGTTCAGCACTCATAGCAACTGTTGTATCTTGTTGTTTTGCTCCAAATAATAATGGGAACATTACACTTAATTCTCTGTGAAAATTTTCATTCAACCATCCATAAAGAACAGGATTAGCACAGGCTGATACTAGAACACACAGCAGACAGAAGGAATGTATGAGTGTTATTTTTCTACCAATACCATACTTACCAATTTCTCTTTGTGTTTGATTATGCGACGGTAAAGAAAAAGGAGCTATTTGATTACTGAATGGTTCATACTGTTCATCCAGGTTATAAGTTACGTTCATAGTCTTGTTCACGTAATCTCTTTGGGGAAGTAGGGTAATGTCGAATGGTTCCTTAAGTAGTAATGACTCACGCTGATCCATAACTAGATTAAAAATATGCAAAGGTAACCATGCTAAGACAAATAGAAGTGTGATTGATGCAAGCAGTGTATTTGTTCTAGTTTGTCGCCTTTGAACAAGTTTCAATCGGGAATTTTCAATTTTTGGTAGGAAAATATCACATGATGATGCTGAAGTTGAGATTACAGGCATCCGAAGACATCGTGAGGCTGAAGCACAGGAGGTTTAGGATCATTTGTTACAGAAACCTTACGTGTTTTTCTATATAATGGTAGGTCAACTAATCTATCAATAGGTTCCAATGTATTCTCATTATCAGGACAATCTGGTTCAATTTCAACGAAATCCTTTTGCTTAACAGATATCAATTGCGAAGCAATTACTACGGGGACACGTTTTCGTGCTTCTCTAAATTGTCGTTGGCGTATTCGTAGACAAATACGTATGTATGCATAACTGACCAATGATAATGGTAAACAGTACTGAAAAACAATCGTAATTACACCATAGATATATTTACTTTGACGAAGCCATTCACCTTGTATTGTACTAGCGCTGCATATATGACCATTCGGTCGAATAGTATCAATACTAACTGACGTGAAGATAAACATTGGACTGGCCATTATCAGAGCGAATAACCAACTGCTGACAATGATGAGTGTTGCACCAGTATTCTGAACAGTCTTCTTCGTCGGGTAAACTATGACCTTCATAAGAGAACAAAGAATGGTAGAAGTGTGAATACAAGTTTTCGTTCAGATAATTAACGATATGATAATCAAAACAAATTTATAATGTCTTCTTAGCAACCGGTTGGAAGCTTCAAATGCATAGTTCTAGAGTATTCACTAAGTTACACGGAATAATGTATTGAAAACTATTGAAAACTATTACTTTAATTAAGAATCCTTTGTATCCAGTTATAAAAGTAGATGTGTAGTCTTAGGGTAATACAATAACCTTGTGACTCCATGGGTGGTATACCACAAATGTCCACTTCTCATATCTACAAGAAAATGGTTTTCCTCATCTACTTTTCAATTTTTAAGGTATGTACTAATAGCATGCAGTCAGAAAAATTAACATGAAACCACACTAAGAAAAGTTTCGCGATATTTAAAATGATTTCACTGAGAAGGAACATACGTATTGAAAATGATTCACCACTTCAACATACCCTTTTTAAACTGATATAAGAATGTTAACTTTTATTGTGTATTATTTTGAATACTTAGTGGCTTTAAATGAAGCAGAGTCCTGATTTCAAGGTATGTAGATGAATTTTCCTAGAGAATTTATATTACCGAAACTCATAAAATAACTGCAAAATTTAACTACATATCTACTGTATGTCATGGAATATTTCTTGAATTTATAATCTATCCATAAATTTGTAATAGATAATTCATATGTTACGGGTTATTCTTATTATTATCATTTAATAAAGCAAATTATTGTTGTCCGTCTAATTTCGGACTCTGAGAAAGCATTATATTTCGACTGCTTAAGATTCACATTCCGTGGTCAAGCAGAATATTTGGCATTTATTTTTAAACGATTTGATACGTTTCTATGCAATCATTCATTTGTAGAACAAGTATTTTACATGAATGACTTGATAATAACTGCTACGAACAAAATGATTTGGAAAATAACAATTAAAATAATAATGTTGTTGTTGGAAACAAACAAAAACCAAACAAAGCCTCCGGTTATTTAACTGAAGTCACTACGTTATCAGCAGATGGGTCTCGAAGTTTGGCAACCGAACCATCAGGCCAGTAAAACAGACGCTACTGGTTCATATTATACTTTGACAATACTGGTGCAAAAATGGAAGTAATTTACTAGAATCAACACCGTGGTAGTAGGAAAAAATATCAAGTTTATCCAAATTTAAACATAATTTCAAGAAAGCCACTCATTGACCAGTCAGTATGACAGTTGACCGTCAAAATCAGAGTCTATTCTAAACGATAGAATGTTATTATACAGCAGTTAGGGTTGCTGAGAAAAAGATTGATGAAGGCTGAAACATCGCTTACTATAGTTGCCACTAAGTAATGTTGTTAAGTTTAACAGGCGTTTGAAGGGAATATATATACAAAGTATTACTTAACTTTAGTGTGTACCCGTAAAGGCTATATAGTATATCAGAGTCTACAGACTGGAAATCTCTTCAGATGTTTGTGCCCACTGAAGAAATTAATCATGCCTGAATGTTGAAAACAGAATGCAAGATAGCATTTAAAGTCCACTGTCAAATGTTCTGTGTACAAAACTTCTGTGTGTTATCCTATATATATTTAGTTAAACACATAAAGAGACTTGCTTCTCAGCACTGACAATGATCTCTTGGCTGCTGAAAAGACAAAACTATGTTTTGATCCTTTAAAAAGAAAATTATTCTGCCTAGAATTTGTACTTCACCTAAAAGAAAAGTTGTTATTAGAAACCTATCACTGTGATAAGCACTGAAAATCAAATATGTTTAGATGAAAAATGGTTTGAAGATATAGCAAGAAATGTAGACTCAAAAGTACTTCATACCTGGAGTAATATTATCCCACATATATATATATATATATATATATATATATATATGACAAACATATCAGAAACCTTGAAAGTTAATTAGCCAAGACAAAATTTAATGGGTGATATAGAGAAGAAAAGTACACTTTTTAAAAAAGGAATATATTTCTTCATTCTTCCCCTTCGTCTAAACATCTCAATAGAAATTTTCAATTTATTGAGATTTAAAGAGTTAATAAGAAACGTTGCATGAATGTCTAACTAGTATCCTACCTATTACTCTTCAAGAGAACAAATCATTTTATTCTCTTGCTGATAAATCCGACTTGTGTCAAATACAACAGGATTTACTTATTGTGGCAGCCACTTTACATTTCAGCTTTCGTTTTAGGTGTACTCGATTTTGTTCTCTGTCATATGACAGAATATAACAGTAATAAGTAAAAAGATTAGTCTTGCTCTCAGTAGAGGTCCGTAACTTAGTTCATTCAAATCGTTCCATTACAAAGCTTTAGCTTGACTAATTATAATTTTTTTAACGTTTAAATAAGTTCCAAGGCCACTTTGTGGAGAATTAAATCGGTGAAAGATTAAAAGCTTTTTGATTTCTAATTAAAAATGTTACTACTGAAAGATTTATATAAAATCTAAGAATCCACTGTCTTGAAACGAAATGTAACAAAATATCTTCATTTTCCACTTTAGTTTCCTTCCAGAATCCTTATTTGAAATCAAATATGCTTTCTGTTAATTTTTAAGAAAATGATTACACTTCACTCCTACCTAAATATGTGACCAAGTGGATAGCAAAATGTTGCGAATAAAACACCATAGAAAAGTAAAGAAACTTATACTGTTATTATCATTTGACTATCTGATATAGCCTTAGTTTGGTAGACTAGTATTTATGCTGGGTGATGATTGAAGGTAGGATGAAAAGTTGGACCACAGCCGAACTCGAACCAGGTGATACCGGGTTTCTGGTCCAATGCTCTACCAACTGAGCTACGAGGTCCGACTGCTGATCAAATAACCGATGTGGTGCTCTAACTCTCTGATTCAGTTAGACTTGGATTTGGATGAGGAAAGCTGACTAAGCAGCCAATGTAAACACGATCAATTGGTAGTACGGTGTCACGAATTCACATGGTAGTCATGAAATCTCGCAGATCAGTTGGTAGAGCATCAAGCCGGAAACTCGGTGGCAGCTGGTTCGGATCAGGCCGCGGTTCAAATTTTCATTTTACCTTGAATTGTATTTTTATGGTAAGTAACAGTAAACAGCTACTTCACACATAACTTTTATTAATTTGTAAACAAATTATTAATTGTATGTGGCCAGCTATGAGAGTGGCAACGCATGGTATATCTGCAACTTAAGCGTAAAGCTGATATGTGTTTTTACATAAATTGTATCATATAGCTGCAGTACTCATCATCTTACATCTGTGTGGTTGCATAGAGTTAGAAAATCATGTTGCATAGTGCTTGTTATGTTTATTGATTTAAATCGGAAAGGTATTTAAACTGAAAATATACACATATGACATTTGAGTAACACTTCGCAAACGATTATCAGTCATTCTCTATGTACTCTTTTTAACAGATAACTAATTTTTGTTACAAGACATGAAAAGTATGCATCTCTAAATGTCAAATAGAAGTTTCGAAATCTGATATTTCGTACTGTTATGAATAACCTGAACTAGTTGCTGGTAATTGGGTATCTTATGTAGCTATGCTATTTGTAGGCAAAAGGAATATAAATACAGCTAAGTAAATAATTCATTGAATAAGAAACTGAAGAAATAGATTTTAAAATCACACTGCGATTATATATATCCTAATGACATAAAAAGTAAATCAAAGCAAACATCCTTAAGAATAAACGATTTTAAGCTAGCAAACCGCTTTATGGAGAAAGTGTTATATCGTACCGTAAAACTTCTTCCTTTGTACACAGTTTAATAGGTCTCTTTATATTAAATATAAGGAATTGAATATGGCTGATATCTCTTATATGATTGTTTAAGAAATAAATGCTTCCGAAAACTTTATTTCTAATTCATTTATCACTTATTCAGTGGTATTATGGATTGATACTTCCTCAGATATGTCACTTTGTTCGTTGCCTAAAAACGAATTTCATTAAATGGGCATTTAAGAGCAGTGAGGCACAAGAAAACATGATTTCACACTTCAACAAAATTTTGTTTTCTATCCTTTCATATATTAGCCCTTTTATTTAATCCTGCATTAGTTTACAAGTTTTCAACACTGAAATACTATTCTCTTATTTAGAGATTGATTTTTCCTAGGTAATCTGGTTTTGTCTATCTAGAAAAAATCAAAACACTTCAGTGAAGAACACATTCAGTAGATTATTATTGATTTTTCTTAGATGTACGATCTTGTTTAGTAGTTTAACTGGGGAAATGCTACCTAATATTGAGTAGTTCAAGGTTGCATCAACAAACATTTATTCAGAGATAGGATAAAAAAAAACTTGTATTATGACGGACAAGTCAACTTATTCTAAAGAAACAACAAAAGTGGATTGCAAATAAGTAATCCTAAGGGATAAAAATTGTTTACACATAAAAAATGTATTGGAATAGCATACATTAAAACAAAATAAATCGAAAGTCATTATAATGGAAATATATTTGAGAAATCTAATTGAGTTGGAAAAATATATTTATGACGTTTCACAAGTTCGTGCAAACCGCTTCTGTAAAAGAAATGATTGCATTTTTTTGATGAATAATAATAGATATATCATTTTCATATACAAAGATTTAGAATAAACTAGTAAAAAGCAAATGAATATGCCGTGAACATTTTTCAGATGGTAGTGGTTTCGAATGTCTTAGTTTAACTTTAAAAATAATTTCAAGCCAAGAATTCACTGAAGCCTTATGACAAGCATTATGTCTTCTTCTTCATGACACTAATAACGCCCCTGATCGGTAGCCTCAATGAAAATGAAGTAAGATATATTTTAAAATGAGAACCTCGTATCCAATCCATGCACTTGACAATTTGAGAGCAGCAATTGTGGATACATAGATCAATTTAACGCAAATCAACACTATGCCTTTAAAAAGTACACGTTATTTAAGTGCACTCAGCATAAGGAACAAGATCCGGATTTTCAACACTAATCTCAGTC